GTGCCCCGTGGGCCCTGGCACAGCCCTGCCAACAGCCCAGCCCTCACACGTGACCTACAATGCCTGGGAGAGGCCTCAAGAGGCTCAGGCGTCATCCGTTAAGAGTGCCTTGGGAAGTTCTGCTCTGATATTCCCCATCCAGGACCCAGAGGGTGAATCCAGCCACCTGTCGGTCCCTGCCCCGTGCCCATCTACTTCTCACCTGTCCTCCTTCCCTAGGTTCGCCAAGTACTACAGTGACCCGACTGGTGCCGAGCACCGCACGCTCATCAAGGCCTATGGCATCCGCTTCGACATCATAGTGTTTGGAAAGGTAGCCTGGCCGCCCCCTCCTCTTAGGGCGCTGGCTGAGACCCAGGCTTCTGGGTTGGCCAGACAGGGGGCCCTCTCCCCACCTTTTATCTGCTCATGCCCTCTATCACGACTGTTTCTTTTTCTCCTGTCTTTTGCAGGCTGGGAAATTTGACATCATCCCCACCATGATCAACATTGGCTCTGGTTTGGCGCTCCTAGGGGTGGTGAGTGACTTAGACTGCTTCTTCACCCCCGGGGCTGGGGGCCTCCGCAGCAGTAGTTAGCACAGCAAGGAGAGACCCTCCACTGGCATCTTGGGGCTTCCCCTTGACCCTAAACTCGTTTCTAGAATAGATCATCTAGGTTTGCTGCCCTTGCCCCCAGCCCCACCTCACCTTCCCTTCTCCAAGACCACAGCCCTTGGGGCCTCGCCTTTCCTTGGAAAATTCCGGGCTTTGCTGGGAAGGGACATGCAAAGAATAACCAGCTAAAGCATCCCACCTGGCTCATTCTCTCACACTCTGCCACACTCAGGCGACGGTGCTCTGTGACATCATTGTCCTCTACTGCATGAAGAAGAGAAACTACTACCGGGAGAAGAAATACAAGTATGTGGAGGATTATGAGCAGGTAGGTCACCTCCTAAAGGTCCTAGCACCTTGCCTCCTGCACTTCTTTCTCATGCCAGTGGTGAGCACCTGGAGTACTGGGCGAGGCCCTAGCACAGCGGTGCTACTGGGCATGCAGTCAACCCAGGTGGCCACACAGTGCTCCTTCTCTGCTCCACTTCTAGACCCTCACTCTTTAAAATCTAGCTTTGGGGCACCCGGGTGGCTCAGGTCATGATCCCAGAGTGCTGGGATGGAGCCCCACATTGGGCTCTCAGCTGGGGGGGGTCCTGCTTCTCCCTCTCCACCTCTCCCCCCGTATGTGCATGCTCTCACTCACACGCACACTCTCTAATAAATAAAATCCTTAAAAAAAATCTAGGGGGCACCTGGGTGGCTCAGTGGGTTAAAGCCTCTACCTTCGGCTCGGGTCATGATCCCGGTTTCCTGGGATCGAGCCCCACATCGGGCTCTCTGCTCCGCGGGGAGCCTGCTTCCTCCTCTCTCTCTCTGCCTACTTGTGATCTCTGTCAAATGAATAAATAAAAAAAATCTTAAAAAAAAAAAAATCTAGCCTTATCTTAATTAGTGACATCTCAGGTTAGTTATGATAATGAATATTATGACAAAACCCCACACTACTTAAACTTGCATAGCAAGAGGGGTTGGCACCATGCTTTGAGACCCCCTGCTCAAGGACTAACCTGAGTATGTTCAGTTGTGAAGGGGTGCCTGAAAGGCCTCTCACCCGCCACGAATTCTCCAGACTCACCTGCGTGCAGCACGTGCTGAGGGTACATTTATCCATAAGCATATCAGTCAACAATAAGCATATCATTCTTTGTAGGGTCTTGGCAGTGAGATGGACCAGTGATGCTCCTCCACACCAGGGATCCCCATGGCCCTCATCAGAGCACAGCCGAGAGGGAGAAAAGGCTGCCGTGTCACCTCAGAGAAAGTTCCAGATTCTGAATCCATCTCCACTGCACGAGAACGACATGGTCACAGCTGTTTTGTGTGTAGGATGTGCAGAGCAAAGCACCCTGCAACCTGGGGGTGTTGGGGCGACCTCTGGCCCAAGGGCAGTGGTGCTTCTGCTGGGGCCTCGTCCGGAGCCCAGCCTTCTTCGGGGGCTCCCAGCTCCAGCTCCTTGTGAGACAGCTCCCAGCTGAGCCCCAGCAGCTCTTGTCAAGCACTTCAGGAGGGAAGGACGGACTGCTGGGTGTGGTCGCTGGACCCTGAGCACGCAGGCTGTGCCTGGGCTGTGGTTCCTCTTCCGGTCTGTGCTGTCACAAGACAGTGTGTGACCTTTGAGAAAAGGCACGCTGCGGTGGTCAAGGACCAAACATTAAAACACTTTTCTCAATCTTTGTGTGGTTTCATAGCACGAACTAGAACTTTCCTCCCTTCCCTTTCACTTCAACAAGCAAACCCATCTGTTGTCCCAGCTCACTGTGCTCAGGAAAAAACTTCCCGAAGCAGTCTGCGTTTGGAGGTTAGGCGTTTTCCCCGCTTCGACCTTCTCTTGAAGGCCTAAGATTTTTGATCTTGGTCAGGTTGGGTTCCTACAGAACTTACAAGATCTTGTCCTGTACTGACTACTCATCTTACCCGTATAGGTGTTTGGGGTTTTTTATTTTTTTGTTTGTTTTACCTAAAATTGTGGTACTACACTATGGAGGACACAATTTTAAAAGGCAACAAGTACATGGCTATCCTTCTCCCCTCCCCGTTTGCTTTCCAGAAGTCTCCAGCCACAAGCAGCACCACCTACACCTACTTTGTTTGAAATGTTAATGAAGTTATTTAGAGCTGCGCCTTCACACAGATTTAATTCTGCAACAAGTCTTCAGGATCTCCTTAAAGCAAGCTGCTTGCCTGCCACCCCCCCATCACGAATTTATTTCCAAGTACTGAAGGGAACGTTTATTTGAGAAGTGCCTGCTTCTGCTGGATGAAACCTGGGCTTTTCTTGCTTTGGGGGCCGGGAAACGTTTACCGAACCCCTTTGGAAAAGCTCTGGTTCGTGTTGCCTCTTTGGGGACAAAAAAAAAAAAAAAAAGCTTGCTTGAACACACAGATCAAGCAGAGCTGGAATTTTTTAGGGCCGGCTTTCATCTTGCAGCCTAAGATGCGACGGTTACTGGAGTGGGGAGACATCTCCTCTTTTGGCCTCCCCTTTTCTCAGATGGAATGCTAAGGCCAGCTGGGGTGAAGGATGGGGGAGGGGCCGCTCACTTTACTCACCGCACTCACCTCTGCCCCCCCCTTGCTGGCCCTCCCTGGCGCTGCTGCTTATGTAGGGGTCCTTCACCTTTGCACCTATGGAGCAGCTTCCGGCGTCTCTGGAACTCCTAAAATTCTGCAAAGGGACACACCTGTGTGCATTTTTTAGCTTTCATTAGATTCTCAGTGGGGTCTTTGAATAGGAAGACCTATTGGTCTTGGACTCTTAAAGGCCAGTATCCCAATGTTCTATTCTGCAACAGAACAAGGAGCTTTCAAACTCCGTCTGCTGTCCCTTCATAACAGAAAACCAAGGTTCAAGGCCAGGAGAGCAAAGCCATAGGCTAGATTCACATCTGGAGTGCAGGGAACCCCCCAGCCTCTAGCCTGGAGGAAGCATCCGTTCTACAAGTCTCCAAACGCCATGAAAACCGGTAGTTGTCCGAGCTCTGTAGAATACCGCGTTTGCTGAAAGTTGGAGCCCTTGGACGACTGAGCCTCAGTTTACGGAGGATGATCCATAAAATGGGATAAATACCTACCTTGTAGAGCAATGTGTCCTACAGCACACCTGCTCACAGGATGTGTTGTGTGGAATTACTACCGCTCCCAGAGCGGCTCACCTAGTTGGTCTCCCAACGGGAGAACCTAGCAATTACCTGCCTGCCATAGCAGTGCTTTTCAGACTTCTGTGGTCATGAGTCACCTGGGGATCCTGTTGAAATGGGGCCCGGGAATTTGCATTTCCAACCCACTCCCAGAAGATGCTGACAATCCCGGTCCAGGGACCACACTTTCAGTAGCGGGATACTAGGACATAGCAACACTGACATGAATAACGTAATGCTGACATCATTAGCCCTGACTTGGGCCATTGATCTCACAGTCTCACAGTCAGCCTAAGGGAGAAAAACACACATAAGGACGATGTCCTACAGACATCTGTAAACAATGACCAACAAAAATACCTCCAAAAGGCCCAGGCTTTGCACCATTTTGCTGTCTGTTTATTTCAAGTTTACAGAGAAGCTTAAACATCTGTGGAAAAACACCAAAGGCTTATTTTTCTCTTAAATTCATGTACTTTTAAGTGATAAATACACAGTATTTAACTTTGTACACCTGATAAAAGGAAAATGCATAGTAGAAAGGATCAGGAATAAAACAGAAGCATCGGGCATTAAATCGGACACAGAATAGAAAAGTCAGCAGTCCCACGAAACTCAGCCCATAAAGCTGCAAAGAGGAAGGGAACCGACGACCTTGAAACCTTCTCTAGCACCTTGGAAGCAAGTGGAGGTCATGGTTCCTCCCCCAGCAATGCAAAGCTCCCCTTTAGGAGATGAGTGAGAACAATAGTTTGAGCCCATGCATCTAAATGCTCAGGTATTTGCCTCCTCTGTCCAGAAGGGCTTTGAGGATGGGAGCCCTAACTCACAGGAAAGGACAGACCCCTGGGGAGACAGCCTCTCCAGCCCTCAGAGCCAACAAGGGGCTAGCTACGGCTTTCTTTCTGGAAGCCCCGGAAGCCCCCGGTAAGCCTGTGGAAGAGACGGGGGGCGGGGGCGTAGTGGAACAGGGCAGAGGAAGATGGGGCAAGACCTTGTGCAGGCCCCAAGTTGCTTACACCGTATTGGTCCCACAGATGAGCCAACAATGGAAGAAAATGATAGGGAATCCTTCTTGCTAACCTGGAGAAGCTGCCCATGATGGCTTCTCCCCTTTCCTGACAGAGCCAGCTTCCAAAAAACCAAAGTTTGTGCTCCAAGAGAATGGTAACCCTACCGCTGTGTGGTACAGCCCTCTGCTTATACTTTTTGGGAGAAGCACTTTCTTTGCACAGCTTTCTTTGGTGTTTCTTTGGAGAGGAGGAAAAAAAAAAAGTGATGAGCCCACCCACCTAAAGAGCTGGCATTCCGCATGCGGAATCTTACGTGGCGAGTTCTGTGGTGGAAGAAATGGTCTTGCCTGATGCAGCTGTGTAAACAGGAGTTCTGCAGAGAGCTTGCTGCCCGCCTGCCCCGGGCGAGCCGCTCGGCCAGGCCAGAGTCCACACAGACAGGCTGGGACTAAGGACAGGTTGACTTGAACTACTGCAAGGTGCTGACTGCAAACTAACTGGACCCCACCTGCTCCCAGAAGGGGCGGCGTCCGCAAACACAAACACATGCAGGAACGCAAGAGGAAGGACCAGGTTACAAAAAGCAAGCAAGCAGGACAGACAACCCTTCCTCCGACGGTCGTCTCTGCTCTTGGAAGCCAGCATTCCTTAATCCTGTACTGTCTGTACGGCAGCAAGAAAAGTCTGGCTAAATGACAGTCAAGAGCTTACGAAAGTCTGTGGAAGCCAAGAACACCCAGGTTCCGCGAGTGCGCTGGGCAGCGGGGGCACGAGGCCTCGCTCCTCTGTCTCTCTGCAAGAAGTCGTCCTACTAGCAATGATCAGACAGAAACTACAGGAAAGCATGTCCTCTGAGCCCAGTTACCGACACCATTTCCCCCAAGCCAGAGACCAACAAAACACTGGGAATCTCCCAGGCCAAAGGCCTTCCTGTTTCCCTCCCCCCCTGAACTTCCCACTCAGCCATGTGTGGCTCTGGATGAAGTCACACTTAAACTGCAGTGAGAATTCCCAGCATGAGTCAGAAACCAAAAAGGTGAGCCTTTTCTGTCCGGGCTTTTGGCTTACAAAACAGAACTCCCTGTGCCAAGCCCTGGTTCTCCTGGACCCTGAGGACCGCTCTGCGTTTCCACAACCTTCTCTACAGGGTGCCCCAGAGTTCTTGTGTGGATCCTCACAGAGCTTTGCCAGTAAGGATGGTCATTTGTGTTTCCGTTGAAGCAGAGTATTTCCTCACTGGCCCTCCAGAAACTAAGCGTTTCATTGACAGCAACAATCAGCTAGTAATTGAGAAAACAAAACTTCAGCGGTCTCTAGGATACACAGGTTACGAACAGGCCAAGCTGCATGTTAATATACAGGCACAGATTTCATTGGCTCTAACTCTGATCACAAGCCTGAAGCCGTGGAAAGAATCCTGGAAGCTCTGAATGATCTCTGAACTGCTCTAGAGTTCAGTCTAGTTAGAGAATCGAAAATATTTTGTTTACTCATAAGCCATGTAATGTACATGGAAGTGTAGGATTTCACCCTGAAGGTTTTGTCCTTTAACAAGAGACTGACCAGAGCTCAGTTAATATTTCAGAAACCCGCTGTGAGTGGCTATCAGCCCTTTAGGTGAAACCGCCCCCCCTGTCCCCCAGCTACCATGGAACGCCCTTCAAGGGGTGGGAAATCCCCTTTGCGAAGCAACTAAGCTTCAAGCCCTTTTCCTTTTCCAGACTACAACTCTACCCATAAAAAAGTCTAAAGTCCTTCTTACAAATAAGGTGCATCGAAGCTCCTAGCAGCTCCTAGGGCCAGCCGGGCCCTGACCCCGTGAGCCCCCCAGTCCTGGAAGGGGCCACGGGCTTGGAGTCTGGGGCTTTCGGGGTTTGCAGGAGGAGCCACACCCCCTCTTCCTCTCCCTCTCGAACACAGCAACTAACTCTGTGGTCTCAGCCCACACCGCCAGAGTTCCCTGCCAGTTTTTTCATGATTTTCACACCCCACACACATTCACTTGGTATTATCTGACATGGTTCTGAGTTCACAATGAAGGATTTTTGGCATAAAAACTTTTAAAAAGCAACTGTCCCAAAATCCACGTGGCTTTGGGTCCGCAACTCCTCACACCTACCCGTTCAGCCAGCCAGCGGCCAAGGTCGAGGTCATGGAGTCAAGTCTTTTTTTTTTTGTCCCCTTTAAAACAACAAAGGAAGAAAAACAAAACAAAACAAAAACACCAGAGATGACGGTCAAGGCTCGACACACGTGCTGGGTTTCCGTAGGACATGCTGCTATGGAAACGCAGGGTGCAGCCTGCATGCGAGGTCGCGCGTCCGGGCAGCTACTCCATCGCCTGGTCGGGCCGCAGAGGATGCATGCGAGCGCAGGGGCCGGGGGCCGGGGCCCCCCAACTCTCGGCGTGGGGACCGCCTTTCACAAGAGCACTTCCTCCTCCCCCACGGGGGGCGGGTCGGGGCCCCGGAGGCTGTCTTCGCTGCCTTGCTTCCTGCTCACCGAACAGAAAACCCACATTAAGGCAAGGCTGCCCCAGCCTGAACCTGCGTCTCCCACCTTCCCACACCACCTGCAACGTCACTGACTTGGCTTTTCCTTTTAGAGTCTCTCCCCTTTTCTTGCCTATATGAGGGTTTCAGAGGAGACTTCGTATCCCCCTCTGCAAATGGAAAAGCAGCATCACTTGCTAAAAGTAGAAAGGAACTACAAAAATAGATGCGAACCTATCTGTGTAACACCCCAAATCATCCCACGTGTGTAGGGAGCAGCCAGCAAGGGGGCCTGTTCCTGGAGGTTTTTAGGTATCTTGTTGTGTCTCCCCACCAGTCCCCACCCCAAGCTTCCTTCTTCAGGCTAAGGTTGAAGGCTCTTCAGTCACCTGTAGGTGAACTTCCTGGGGGGCACCTGGGTTTGGCCTGGCACAGAGCCGGCCTTTTGGAAAACCGTGGTTAAGAGGAGAGGACTGCCACCTGCACACAGGCTCATGGGACACCTTGGATGGAGAGAAGGGCCCTCCTCTTGGTGATGTGAGGGATCAGAGCAGAAGAGACCAAAGAGGTGGGAGGAAAGGTGTCCCCGTGTCCCTGAGAGGGCATATCCTGAAATGCCCCCAGCTAGACGTGCCTGGGAGGACACAGGCTGAACTAAGGAGCTGGAAAGGAAAATCCTTGAGAAGCCCAAATCACTTGGACTGCCAACAACAGGGTCCACTTCTAAGGGAAGCCACACTACTGTCTGCTGTGTGTCCCTGGCCAGAAGGGAAACTCTGTCCTGGCACAACGGAAGAGAAAGGGTGACGTCTGTACACTCCTAGGAAGAAACCCCTCTCTGTTTCAAGCGCAGGCTCACTGGCTTTTAGGTTTCTGCCGAAAAAGAGGGGGTCCAATCTCCCAGGGAGGAGAGCTGTAACTAGATGTCCAATCCTGTCCTCAATTTCTGCTCTAGAAGAGCCTGCTTGGACCAGCGGGTGTAGCTGTAGGCGACCAGCCGGCAGGCCTCGGACCCAAGGCATCCAACAACTGAGTAAGCCCTAGGAATTCCAGAGTGCTGGGTCACTCAGACAAGCCAAGCACCCGACCAGCAGCCTGAGGGCAAGAGAAGTAATCCGCAGGTCTTGCTGGGACTCCAGATGAGGGAATAAAGGAGTCGTCAAGCCCTTATGGCCCAGTCTCTGGCACCTTGCGATTTTGAGCTCATTGAAGATAAGAAACAGATGACCAACTAGCACACAGGCAGGAGGCAAACCCTACAACTTGAGATTGAGAAGAAAAAGTCCAGCCCATTAGGCTCCATCACCCAGGAGGCTCAAAGAGTAGCAGGCAGCAGATAAGTGGGGAACCACCTGGCAGGAATGATGGCTAACTGCCACTTTTCCTGATCCTAAACTGTCCCCCACAGGCCCCTGATCCTGCGCTGTGGCTGGCCAGTAATCTTCATCTCATGCATCAACTCCCACCACACAGAAGGGCTGCGTGCTTGTATGCGAACCCTTGCAGCGGCAGGCATTTGTGACAGCCAAAGTGGAGACAACGTCCATCACCTAACGAACGGAGGAGTACAAGGTGGTCTGCTCGCACAACGAAGTATCATCTGGCCAGAAACAGGAAGGAGGCGCTGATGCCTGCTACACCACGGATGAACCCTGAAGCACCAGGCCGAGTGCAAGACGCCAGACACGAAAGCTCACGCGCTGTACAGTTCCACTGACATGAAGCGTCTAGAACAGGGCAACTGTACAGACACGGAGAGCAGCTTAGTGGCCGCTGGGAATGGGGAGCTGATGGTGACGGCTGGGAGACAGGATTTCTTCTGGGGCTAATAAAAATGTTCTAAAACTGACTGTGGTCTTAATTGTACAAGTCTGTGAATATATTAAAAACCACTGAATCGGGGCGCCTGGGTGGCTCAGTGGGTTAAGCCGCTGCCTTCGGCTCGGGTCATGATCTCAGGGTTCTGGGATCGAAGCCCCGCATCGGGCTCTTTGCTCATCAGGGAGCCTGCTTCCCTTCCTCTCTCTCTGCCTGCCTCTCTGCCTACTTGTGATCTCTGTCTGTCAAATAAATAAATAAAATCTTTAAAAAAAAAAAAAAAAAACACTGAATCGTGCCCTTCCAATGGGTGAAGCTTACATATTATGTAAGTTACATGTCATAGGTAAGTTACATGTCAATAAAACTGCTCTTAGAACACAGAAATGGTTTCCCCGGGGCGCCTGGGTGGCTCAGTGGGTTAAAGCCTCTGCCTTCGGCTCGGGTCATGATCTCAGGGTCCTGGGATCGAGCCCCGCATCTGGCTCTCTGCTCAGCGGGGAGCCTGCTTCCTCCTCTCTCTCTGCCCACCTCTCTGCCTACTTGTGATCTCTCTCTCTGTCAAATAAATAAATAAAATATTAAAAAAAAAAAAAAAGAAATGGTTTCCCAATTATAAAATTTTCAATGTCAAAAAAACTAATAAAAAATACACAGAAATGACTGCCTGGAGTTCTGAGTTGAGGACGAGGTAGTGAGTTAAGCTCAACAGAAGGAATCCTAGAATTTCTATCTTGCCACAGGCACTAGGGGGAAGAGAGGCAGCAGGGGTGCTAAATGTTTATCATTAGTCCACAGGGACAAAAACTCCCATCTGTCCTGGGAGATGCTGGTAATGCTGACACGGCTTCGTGTTGAGAAGACAAATGGCCAAAGGGAAAAGATTCAGATGCACCCCGGGGACACAGGACTCTTATACTAATTTGCAGCAAGCGGGAAGGGAAGTTATCTTCTAGGTCTTCACCCATCAGAGAAGAAAGGGGTGGATACTGGAGAGCCCCAGAACACTGCATGCCTGATCTACGCTCTGACCACATGGCCCCTGGGCAGGAGCAGCCACGGGACCCTGTGACATAGCTTCTATGCCACTGACGTGCCCAGAGCTTATGTGGGTACCAGACTTCGTCATGAGACCTGGGTGAATTCACAGGCATTCCGGGTGGAGCGCCATGCACCTGCAGCCCCAGCCCACATGCATGACCCGCCATCGGGTCCAAGCCCCTGGATGACCCTTGTTTTTGTCCTAGGTCCAGAGGCCCAAGGGGAGCCTGGGCACAGCAGCCCAAGCTGGAAGGACCCTCCGCCTGGGTGGGGAGGCCCCGTGCTGTGGGGAGGCCCCGTGCTCTGCAGCTGCCCCCGCCCCCAGGCTCCGGCAGAGGCTACAGCGCAGGCAGGCAGGCATTACCTTGGGCTCAGACAGGGGCTCACACTCCCTGGTTGGTTTTTTGCTGGAATGGCCAGAGGGGAGGGAAAAGGAAGTGAGAAGGGACACTTGGGATCTATGAGATGCCTTTCCCCCACCCTAGAGACACTCAAACCCCCAACACCAGCTTCCCAGAGCTGTTGCCAGGGGGACTTTGAGCAGGGTGCCCCTGCTGTGACACACAGGGTCACATGGGCAAGAAAGGCCTTTCTCATCCATCGCCGGGCTGATAATCCCACCATGGAGCATGCATGCTTCTGGGCCACAAAAATTCTGACTCTCAAGAAGTCCCTCAGTTAAACTGCAAGTCTCCCGGAGAAAGGCTGCAGCATGGGTTAGGCATCCACAAAAGGTGGGCTGAGCCCAGGTGGGGCGGGGTGGTGGTGGTGAAACCAAAGGCAGCTGCTCTGATTTCCCCGTGTCAGCGTGGGAGACCTGGTCTAAGTTGTTCCAGACGCTTCAGCTCCAAGGATGGGCCCCGGGCAGAGTGTGCTGGGCAGGGCTGCCCTGTGTTCAGCCCTTAGCTCCCCATCCCGGAGGAAGGCAGGTGGCCACTCACGTGAGCAGGTTTCCAGGTGCCGACAATGAGCGCTCCTCCCGCCGGCTGCCCTCAAACGGGTTCCCGAAGGAGCGTTTCCGTATCATGGTCTTCACCAGGATCTGAAGGACAGAAGAGGAAGCTGGGCCACCCGGGGGAGACTCCAGGCAACCACTTCCCCTGCGCCACTCTACAAGAGTGATCTCCCTCTTCCTTTCTCTACCAGCCTCCCTGCCGCTCCCACGGCTTGTGGCTGGCGAGAGGCCTTTGAGAGATCCCAGGCAGCATCCCTCCCACTGAGGACACAACAAAGCCAACACCACATCTGACTAGTCCATGTCCAAAACCATTCATTCTGACATTCTGCTGTCTTAATCTTGTCTCAGTCAACTGAAGCCCCAGGCGGGGCGGGGGTAGGTGTGTGTGGCTCTGTGCTCCAGAAGAGGCCAGCACTGTCCCTCCAGTAACTTGGCACTTGTCACACACAAGCCATCACTACACCTGCTTCGTGGCCCACCAACCCGTCTCATCTTCAAATCTGGGCCTTTATTTTCGGTGAAAACTCTCTGACCACTCCAACAAGAAACCAACTGTTCTTTTCCAGGCCAAATTCGGGGACCGCACTTCTCTTTAAGCTGAAATAAGTGTCCCACAATAGAACACTCACTATTTTAAAGTGTACACTTCAGTGATTTCTAGTATATTCACATCACCACCATCTAACTTCAGAACTTTCCATCACCCCAAAAAGACACCCAGTATATGCACACCCCATTTCCCCTCCCCCCAGGCCCTGGCAACCACCGATCTGTGTTATTTCTGTGGATTCGTCTTTTCTGCGCATTTCATATAAATGGAAGCACACGGTGTACGGCCTTTTGTGTCTGGCTTCCCGCACTGAGCACCATGTTCTCAAGGCTCCTACGGCTGCAGCAGGTGTCAGTGCCTCCTTCCTCTTCAGGGCCAACTGATGTCCCTTTGTCCGGATACACCTCCACTGGGGGACATGTGGGTCGTTTCCACTTTTTGGCTCTTGTGGATAATGCTGCTCTGAACATTCGTGCACATATTTTTGTGTGTGGACCTGTTTCCCACAGTTTTCATTTCTCTTGGGTCTGTACCCGAGTGGAATTCCTAGATCATGTGATGACCACGTTTAACATTCTGAGGAACAGCCAGACTGCTACAGTGGTCACACCACACAAGGCTGCCTACTTCTCAGGGGGCTGCATTTGAGTAGAGGATGGGAGACACCTGACCGGGTGTAAGGAGCTGAGGAAATACCCCAGGACACTGCAGCCAGCCAGCCCACAGCCTGCTGTGGTGTGAAGAAGGGGCTGAGAGTTCCCAAAGGTCCATCCAAGTATGAAAGGCACTGGGGGCAGGCTGGTCCACTGCCAGTAGCGGGAACTTGCTCGTGGGCCCCCTCACCCACTCTAACACAGATGGGGTCCCCAGCCTGGTTGGCAGACACCTGCCTGATCCCTTGGGAAAAGGTACATTCCCTCATCCCATCCCATGGTCCCTGCTCAGCTTCCCTCCTCTGCCTCCTAGCCTTTTGCCTCACCCCTACTGATCTGACCCATCCTCTCCAAAGCCCAGACCTGATTCCCTCACTCTTGGACAAAATCTTTCACCCACAGGACTCTGGAACTTATCCTGCTGCTGGCCAGAGGGCCAAGGACAATTCTGGAACAAAGGAGCGAATGAGTTATTTTTGGTGATGCTTTTGGCTACTGCACCCTCTGAAGGAATTTTTAAGGAAAAGACCTCAGCCTGAAAGGAGCCGGCCCCCACCCCCTCCAGCAGAACATGGTGCCTCTTCAAGCTATTTTCCATGTTGACAGAGCTTCTGAATTGTTTCATGTGTCTGCTACTAAGAAGAAATCTAAGTGGTTTTTATTTATTTATTTATTTTTTAAGATTTTATTTATTTATTTGACAGAGAGAGATCACAAGTAGGCAGAGAGGCAGGCAGAGAGAGAGGAGGAAGCAGGCTCCCTGCTGAGCAGAGAGCCTGATGCGGGGCTCGATCCCAGGACCCTGAGATCATGACCTGAGCTGAAGGCAGAGGCTTTAACCCACTGAGCCACCCAGGCGCCCCAGAAATCTAAGTATTTAGAAAAACATGGACAGCGGTGCCTTGGTGGCTCAGTCGGTTAAGTGTACCTTCAGCTCAGGTCATGATCTTGGGGTCCTGAGATCAAGCCCACCAGGGAGTCTGCTTCTCCCTCTGCCCCGTCCCACTGCTTGTGTACACACTCTCTCTCTCTAATAAATACATAAAATCTTTAAAAAAACAAAACGAAACAAAACAAAAACAGTGATGTTCCAAAAGGTGGAAACACCCATCATCTCAAAAATGGATAAACGAAATGTGGCCTAGCCATACAATGGTGTGTTATTCAGCCAAGAAAAGGAACAGCACGCTACAACACAGATGAACCTCAGAAACACCGCGCTGAGTAAAAGAAATCAGACACAGGAGATCACATACTGTGTGATTCCACAGACATAAAATGCCCAGGAGTGGCAAATCCAGAGACAGAAAACTAACCGGGGGTTGCCAGGGGCTGGGGCGAAGGAAGAAGAGTGACTGTTAATGGGTACAGGGTTTCTTGGGGTGGGGGGATGACAGAAGCACAGAGGTGATGGTTGCCCAATATTGTAAACGTAATAAATGCCATTGTATTGCTCACTTTAAAACGGTTTGTTTTACGACACACAAGTTCTATGTCATTAAAAAAGAAAAAAAGAAAACCACTGACTTAGACCCCCTGGGGCAAGGCACTCCCCGTCCCTCCCTGGCCAACACTGGTGTTCTGTGGTTCCAGTAGCATACCAGCCCTTTCCTCCTCTATGCCTCTGCTGATGTCGCTCCCCACCCCACTCCCTGTCCCCGACAAGACCACCTGTCCTGCCCCTCCCTGTGGTTTTGTCAACTTGCCCAGTCCTCAGGACCCAGCAGAAGAGGCTCTTCCTCTGCACAGGCCGGTCGCCGTGTGACAGCAAAGGAGGGTGATTTTTTTCCCCCTCCATCTTTCTTACAAGGCCAGGAGCCCCACAAGGGCTTGGGCTGTACCTCGAGCATCTCTGTGACCTTGTGCCTGGCACACACTGGGCATGTGGACCTGGACCTCCCCACCTTTGGCCCCACCCTCAGATGGCTGCAGCAGCCCCCATTTCCTCCCTGGTGCGCACATTCCATTTTCCACGTGGGGTCTTTCCAAGGCCAACTGTGATGGGGATACTCCCCCAATTTAAACCCTGCAGGTGCTCCCCACCCCTCTTGGGACCAAGATTTAAATCTCTGCTGTGGCCTCAGGTCTTGGGTGGTCTGGCCCCACCTCCTGCCCAGATTCACGGCACCATCCCCCCCCACCTTCCTTGCCCTGTCTCAGTGGCCCTGGTTTTCTTGAAGCTTCTTGTAGGCCAAGCTTCCTCCCAGCAGAGAATCACCACGTTTGCTCTCCTCTCTGCCAGAAATACCCTTTACCCAATACCACCTCAGCCAGTAACACTCTGCCATCCACTCAGTATATATTCACTCCTTCCAGGAGGACTTCTGCAACCCATCCCCTTGGCCACATCCCCCCCTTAGGGCTCCGTGGCCCCGCTTAGGGATACACCTTGCAGCCCCTGTGTTTTGTTGGTTGTTTGCCCAGCATCCGCCTCTCCAAGATGGCAAGCACACCATGTTGGTTTTGCTCATCCCCGGAACCCCTGTTCCCAGACCTCTAGGATCAGAGACCTCCTAACACCCTGAGCCTAGAACAGAATAACCTGTGGTAGGCACCTGGGTCTGACACCAGCTGCCTCCCCCACTGTGGGTGCAAGACATGGATGAGAAAGACTGAGTGAGTGTGGGTGAGTTTTAACGTGAAGGTCATGCAGAGGCCCCAGGTGGGGCGGGAAGAGGGAGATGTGAATGGATGCCCCACCACGGGGGCTCAGGTTTTGGAAGAAGGAGAGAGAAAAGTGTGTGGGGAAGCAGGAGGGAGAAGTGCAAAGCTGGGAGAGAAGGAGCCAGCACTTGGGCTCCTAAAGGGGCAGTCACCTGAGGCCAGACACTGTGTCTTTGTGGAAAGCCTCACCAGTTCCTCCCAGAGCCTAGAACCCTGCCTGCCTGCTGGAGCCAGCGGTAGCCAAACACACCCCAGGGCTTTCACGGTGGCCTTAGTGGGGCGGCCAACTGGACTCTGCCGCCTGGACCCCAGGACCTTCAGAGTCCTAGTCTCCTTCCTGGAGCCAGATGCCCTCCTGGGTAGGGGACTGGCAAGTGACTGATTCCCAGAGTCTCCAAGGTTAAGCTTGAGGACTCCATGTTCTGGTCCTTTTTCCTAGGTCAGGACCCAAACACAAGGCCATAAAAAAGCACATGAATTGGGAGCCCTGCCCCTAGCCCTGGGAGCTGCCCACATGGCAGATGTGAGGCAGTCTAAGCCATCCACTCTGGAGACCGAAGATCCAGCCAGGTGGGAATTCCATCTTAAGAGACCTTGGCTCCAGCTCCCACCCCTGGCACCTGCCCTGGTCCTTCTCCTCGCCCTGCCATACTCTGAAAGCAGGAATTCCAGAAAGAGCAGTAGGATCTTTGGAAAGGAGTCACCCCTTCCTATAGTCACAAGGAATCTGCCTGTAGACAGAACTAAAACTGTAAGATGCAGGGGCCTCCTGGCCTGATGTGTGACTAAGGCCCAGAGCCTGGAGGCTGTGAGTCAGCGACAGACCCAGCCATCCCCCGACTCTCAGGCCCAGCGTCTGCTTCTTAGCTACCCGCCTGTGCCCCGGCCCGTCCTTGCCGGCCCGCCTCACGCTGTCCCTGCTCTCGGTCAGTGGTTCGTCCCGCCTTACCACGGTTGCCAGGCTGGGAATGTGTTTGACCGAATTCTCGACCTCCTCTTCGGTCACCTCGACCAGCGTGCAGTTCTCGTCCTCCGATGGCAACGGCTCCGCCCCATGCCTCGTGACCCAGGGGTGCAGCTTCAACGAATGACAGGAGGGGTGAGGGGCAGGCAACTGGCTCCCAGAGGCCAGAGGGTGACACCAAGGCCCTGCCAGTGAGCGGAGCCAGGGAGGGAATGCGCGAGGGCAGAGGTGGCAGCCTGAGGTCAGGCATGCAAGAGAGCTGGCAAGCCAGGCAGAGGGTGGGGGTGAGCGAGATGCAAGGAAACGTGGAAAAGACAGAAACAGAGAATGGGAGGGAGCCACCAGGCCGGGATGTGCGCCAGACCGCACTCTCCATCTAGCCCAGGTCTTGGGAGAAGTGACCAGAATTTGACTTGCATGGTTGCCCAAGGAGCACCCATCACCCCTCAGCAACTTTCCCTGATGCCCCTGAAAGGCTCTGCTGAGAGCAAGCAGACCATCCCCATTTCACAGAAGGGGAAAGAGAGGCTTAGGGAGGCACAGTGAGACCAGTTAGAAGGACAGAGTCAGGAGAGGACCCGGGCGGGGATCTTCCCCACCCCGCCACCACCCCTGGGGTCCAAGTCCTTATCTGTAGCCATCTGGCCTCCTCCTCCTCAAATCCTAGTTAGCTAGATGCCTAGGAGCTCCTGAAGCAAACCTTTGGATTTCTTAAAGAGTCAGATGTGTGCATGTGGCATTGGTCAGGGTGTAGGGGATGCACAGGGCTCTCTCCTAACACTGCTTTCTGCAAAAGGATGGAATTCAGCAGGCCAGGGACACGGTGTCAACCTGATCACTAATTTCCTCCCATCCCCACTGAGATTTCTCAAAGGGATGGGCAGGGCCAAGGAAAGGATCTAGGACCTTGGCAGCCAGGGTGTGGAGCACACAGAGACCCCAGTCTGGTCTGGTCCAGGGAGGGTGAATGCCATCAGCCCAAGCCAACTGGAGCGAGCACCGGCTGCCCCACTGGCAGCAGATCCCATTTCCACAATCACAGTTAACACAAGTCCAAATCCTCCTCGCCAACTCCCATCACCACCAGCCCTTAGCAGCCCAGAGGCCCAGGGCATGGGAGGATTAACAGTGCCAATAAGGGCGCAGCGCTGTGGACAGAGAGGCGTGAGGCCTGGCCGAGGCAGGGTTGAGCCAAACAATTCCAAGCAGAGGACACAGGCCTGGCCCCTAGTGCACACCCCATGGAGAGTGGTGGCCCTCAGGTACCTTGATTTCTGGCACCACGATCCTTGATTCTGGGTTCTTGTCCAACATGCGGGTGATTAGGTCCTTCAAGTCCTCAGCTATATCAGGCCTGGGGTGTGGAAGAAACATTAAGGGTGGGACACACACAAAGGACCACCAAGGTCTTGGAGAGAAAGGTGAGTTGGGACAGAAAGGCAATACTCACTGATCTGGAAACTCCAGGGCCTGACTCTTGATCTTACTGTGTAAACACATGATCCTCTCGTCCATGAACGGGCACTACAGAGAAAGGTCAGGGACAGAGTGGCCACTGATGGCTGCCACATCAGTCTTGCCCAGGCCAGCATCACTCCATGTGGGTTATAGCAGAGGAATAAATGCCCAGGAGCCCATTCTAGTGAGGGAGCAGTTCCCATGCCACAAGGCTAGAAGAACCAGGGATGTCCTTCTAGAAGGGCTAGAGCCCCTCCCAACCACCCTGTGGCTTTCCTCAGCAGCTGTGCTTTACTTTACCTACTTATACAAAAGCAAAGACTCCTCTACCCAGAGGTAGCCCCACCTGCTGGGTGAACAGTAATAATACTAAAAACAATACCTAAGATGTAGGGGCGACAGCAGTGATTCGTTGGGCCTTAACCTGGGCCAGGCCTGGACTGAGGTTTCTCAGGACCAATCTTCACTGGTTGTTCCCTCTGCCTGTAATGTTCTTCCCACCAACAACTGCATGGCTCGTTTTCTCCCATCACTCAGGTATCTGATCAAAGCTCACCTTCTCAGGGAGGCCTTCCTGAGCCCCTTTCTAAAGCAGACCACCCCCCACCTGCTGCCATGTGATTTCTCCTCAGAGCACCTATCTGGATGTTATGTTACATTTGTATTCATTTACTGTTTAGCTCCTGCAGAGGAACATCAGCTCTAAGAGGGCAGGGAGACTGCTGCTGGTCTTGCTTCCTGCCGTTTCTCCAGTGCCCAGGAATACCCCTGGTGCAAAGTAGGGGTTTGGTAAATACTTGTTGAGTTAATGAATGCTTGAATTATATCTGCTGATCCTCTCAGAGACTTAAGAAATCATAAATATTCTTCTCATTTTACAGAAAAGAAAAAAAACAGAAGCTCAGAGAGGTCACATGTCCTGGGAAGCATAAAGCTGGGATTTTGACTCTGAAGCCCATTCACATGCCACTTCCCAGGTGACAAATCAGTGCTTCTGGAACAGACCTGGGAGGAACTCAGGTACAGTGCCAGAAAAGGAACTTTTACGTGGCGTGCTCAGAATGTGGGAAAAAGTCACAGAATGCAACCTGGTCCTTTCCCGTAACTTGGCGGGCGCGTGGGTGGCTCAGTGGGTTAAAGCCTCTGCCTTTGGCTCAGGTCACGATCTCAGAGTCATGGGCTCTCCACCCAGCAGGGAGCCTGCTTCCCTTCCTCTCTCTATGCCTGCCTCTCTGCCTACTTGTGATCTCTGTCAAATAAATAAAATCTTAAAAAAAAAAAAAAAAGAACAGCAACTTGAATTAAGAGTTTGGATTACACAGGTGTACCCATCTGACAGAACTCATTAACCAGTACACTTCAGATCTGTATGTTTCATTATATGCCAATTTTACCCCAAAAAGGAAAAAAAAAAAAAAAAAAAGAACAAATACTGAGCTCTAGCTAATGACTACATTCCGAAGCAGCGTCTGGAAGCAAGTGTAGAGATGTTAGCAACTTACTCTGGAATGTGTAAAAAAAATAAAGACAGGTTGAAGATGGACAGACTTGTGATAAAGCCAATACAGTGAAATGCTTATGGCAGAAACAGCTGGTGGCTGTGTGGGTGTTTCCTGCAGTCATTTCAACTTTGCTATAGGATTGAAAATTTCATCAAATATTGGTGGGGAGGACATCATAAACCATGAGACCGGTTTCTTAAGCTTTCCTCCATAAAAGCACAAGTTCATGAAAATGAAAAATCTGTGCTTTTACTGTCCACATAATTTAACCTGAACTTCAGAATCAAAAACCAAAGTTCCTAAACATAATAATAAGAGACGACAACAAAAGAACAACGACAAAGAGATGAGACCGCATCCCCTCAGTCAATAACGCCAAATGGATTTTCACGCCCATTCCAGTTCTGTCCCCCCAACAGCTGCTTCTGGGAACACACTCTGAGAGGAACATCAAAGCAGCCCTGGGCTCAGGAAGAAAGGGTGCCAGCGGCTATTGACTTATGATGTCTGTCTGGGGAGTCGGAGTGGGAAGAGAGGTAGCACATCTGTCATCCTTGCGCCAAACCTGTCAACTATTTACAACCTCTGGAGCTTCTGTCAATCCTTCGTGTTAACAGATCATTTCCCACAGACAGGACTATTCTATACAGGGATGCACATTTGGACAAGCATCTTTTTTCACATTCAGGTCTAACTGTGGTAAACTCAATGACTAAGGACTGTCTCCCCGTAACGGTAACTATTAACCCACCGGGGCTGCCCAGCGACACTCAGCAGACAGGACACTCCACCCTGTTACCTGGCCAAACACAAAGCAGTACAGCGTCACGCCCATGGCCCAAACATCCAAAGCCTGCAAGAGAAAGAGCTTCGTGTAAGGGGCCAAGAGCCAGCGAGGGTTGTCTACGGCTCCTGCACAGCCAAATACTAAATCAAATCCTTCAGCTTTCCTCTGAGAAACCACCCAGTTCTGATTCTGGATCCTGCTCCTGGCCTCTGGGTGAGCACATGACCCAAGCCTGGCCAATAAGAGCTTCATTCCCACCAGCCTTAGTGATTGGCTTAAGGGTAGGCACATGACCCAGGCCTGACCAATGACAGCACCCCTCCCCGCCGCCAGCCACAATGGTTGTCTCAAGGATAGGCACATGACCCGGGCTGAGCCAATCACAGCCAATCCCGAGATTTTTCCGAAGGCTCCTCAGAAAGAATGCTCTTTCTACTGAGGTAGGTAAGCTGATAGGGAGGAGCCTGGAACTGGGGGTACCAACCCACCTGGACAGGAAACCAATTCAAGAAAACAGCTCAAAGATGGAGAGATGGATTCTTGTGTGAATCCCGGTATCTAGCCAAACCGGAAGCCGCTCTTCATCTACAAGATCCAGTGGATTCGTTGTTTAAGCCAGTTTGGGGGGATTTTTGCCACTTAAAAGGAAAGGACCTGATCACAAGCAGAACTCATCATCTCAGACAGGTCCACACCTACCTTCCCAGAGAAGATCTTCCGGGTCTCCGAGAGTGACTCCGGCGCCATGAAGGCAGGTGTGCCCACGGTGTTAGAAAGGAGCGCATCGCTGCCCTTGAACTCGTTGCTCACACCAAAGTCGGCAATCTTGATGTGGCCATCTTCTCCCACGAGCAGGTTGGAAGGTTTGATGTCCCGGTGGATGATCTTCTGGTAATGTACTGGGCGTGGGGTGGACACCAGATGGGAGAGAGGGGGCAGGAGAACCATGTGAGCAGCTCTGCGCAGCCCCCGGAGCCCAGAAACACAGACACTGATCCGGTGCTCCTTCACGGCCCCCAAGCCCCAAGCCTTATCCTCCCAAACCTACATACCCTCAGCTTTGAGAGATTGGGGGGCGGGGGGGGGGGAGTTTGTTTAAGGAAGTTACCCCATCTTCAAAAATAAGGAGTGAAACATCAACTGACAATAATAGTTAGTAACCACCTGCTCTACTCTAAGTCATGGGGGACGACCACGGTCCCTGGAGCGTTTTTGTTGAGCCTGGCTGGCTTCCAGCTAGAAGCCTCACGACTTATGACAAACATATTTTTGTTTACTAATGCCAACACTCAACCTGTTCACCACACCAACAATGACTGGAGCAGGTCCAATGGAAGTGTGGACCACAAAGTAAGACTGGGACTTCATTAACTCCTTCCTGCCTGGATGTCAACCTATGGGAGAGGACATGGTCTCTCTTCCTATGGTCTGGAAGGCCCAACTGCATTTCTTTGCTGGTGGTAGTGACGACAATGATACCAGTAATAGGGGCACCAGCTCCATTTGTTGAGTGCCCCACCTGGGGCCTAGCCCTGTGTTAAGTGGTTCCCATTTTCCCCATTTAAATCTCCCAACGATGGGCAAGGGGAAGAACAAAATGTTTTACAACCAGAATCAGAAAGGACACCTGTCAGTCAGAACTACTGATATATACTGGCTGATTTCCACCCTGGTGAGAAACACTTTATTCCCATTTTACAGATGAGAAAACTAAGGTAACAGATTAACAGGATCCCCATCCCAGGGTTGCTGGGTGTAAGAGACAATGCAAATACAGCACCTAACAGCACCTGGTACACAAAGAAAGTCCTGGGGCAAACAGTCATTATCAATATGACTCTTAATTTTTGTGGCAGAAAGAAGTGTTTCTGTTCATCGGGAGCATAGCTTTCTGCAGCTGTCCAAGACTGCATTTCAAGCAATTCTGTTTCCCACCCACCTGCTGCTTGCACTCCAGGAGGGAAATTCCACTTTCCCACTTGCCATCCGCTAGCTGGGATGCTAACCACCCCCGGGTGAGAATCCTCCCACAGGCCCCTGCTTACGGTACTCTATGCCTTTGATCAGGTCCTGGAAGTAGAAACGTGCCTGGTCTTCGGAGAGTGGTTTGAGGGTGGGCACTTCCATCACAGGCCTGGAAGGTCGAAAAGCAAAAGCAGACATACTGGCCTTCACCTTCTCTCACCAGCAGAACCAAGCACCGCCTCCCGTGAGAAGCTCTCCAGCTTCTGAAGTTTCAGGCATCATACCTGCCAGGGAAACAGGATACTCACCCTTGGTTGACCAGTTCAAACACTGCAGGGAAGAAAAGGGGGTCAACTGTTACATTGGGAAATTGGAAATCCATCTTCCTCCTCCTCCCCAATGGCCCATAGAACACCAAGCAGCACAGAAACTAGTACTGGGGCTAGAGAAAGGAACAATTCACTGAGCCAAAGCTGGTCAAGGTCCTGCAAGGTCCTCCCCGGTCTGGCTGTATTTTTAGTCCTCAAAACAGCCAAGGACCCCCTGGCCAGGGAAAACAAAGCAGGAAGACAGGAGACAGGCGGGATGGCTCATGGGATCCTTTCTTCTCTTCACTCATACCTTGGAGATTCCAGGGATACAACTGATACTAAACTAGGTTCTCGTAGTCACACCCAGGTTCTGGCCACCTGATGCCATACAACAGGTCTATGGGGACACAACCCAACATCTGTTTACTTAGGCACAAAGAAGGAGCCCTAGAGGTCTTCAGGATCCCAGCAAAGTTTTGATTCAAGAAACAAGAACATGTTTCAACAATCCCTCCCATATCCTCCACATTGCCAGGCTGTGTCAGGCCACAGACGGAGAACGCTTATAGATTCTTCCAACTCCTCAATGCTCTGCGGTCAGCTGGGCCTCAGACTGTTTCCTGTGACTCCCAATCCAAAACAAGACTTGAAGGGGGGTGGGGAGGGGGTGGAGATTTTCTTCAGCACCTCAAAGGCCAACTCATCCCACGATTCCTAAACAGGGCCTTTTCTTGACACATTCATGCACGACATGCAAATGCCTCCCACCCTGCCAGCTCCTTCCCAGCACTGTATGTGCGGGGAACCCCTGCTCCAAACCACCAAGTATTAGATAAGCTGTGTCCAGGGAACTGCAAAGGCTTTTGTTGTTCTTGTTGGTTTGGTTTTGTTCTTTCCATTTTAAAAAACTGAGGTGAGGGGCGCCTGGGTGGCTCAGTGGGTTAGGCCTCTGCTTTCGGCTCAGGTCATGATTCCAGGGTCCTGGGATCAAGCCCCGCATCGGGCTCTCTGCTCAGCTCTGCTCTGCTCAGTTTGTCCTGCTTGGACAAACATAACTGGGAAGATGAAGCTATCTTTTAGGAAGTGAGAAATGCATACAGTGAATTTCAAAATCAAGTGGAGAATAACTTCAGAGCTGTCTGTTGTTCTAGAATCATCTACCCACACTGGAGTTTTTGTTTTGTTTTGTTTTGTTTCATATCGAGTTTCTTACCGAAGAAACCAAAAAGACTGTTTCAAAGCTCTCCAAGGGCTAAGGTAGCTAAGGGACTAGAGCTGGCTCCTCAGATAAAAAGAAGACCAGAAAAAGTTATTTAACTCTGGCAGGCCCCTCCCCGTCTTCAGGTTCATCAAGCAGTATTGGGCAAACCCAAGTTAGGGCAGGTCTGCCATGGCTTCAGGCTGTGGTTAGAAGCAAAAGGCAACGGCACTGAAGGGAAGGTTTCCACGGACAGGAGCGCTGGTCCTTTCAGCTCTGGCCTATCCCACCTTGGTCATGAAAGACTTAACTTTCCAGAGGTGCTTCATGAATTTCTGTACTTCCTCCCGAGCACGGTCACTTGGTTGGCATGGAGGAAGCTAGCCTATTGAAACAGGTCTGTTTTCAGGCGCCCTCTCACATAATTTTTTAAAGTTAACCTATCTAGGAGCGCCTGGGTGGCTCAGTCAGTTAAGCAACTGCCTTCGGCTCAGGTCATGATCCCGGGGTCCCAGGTTCGAGGCCACATCGGGCTCCATGCTCAGCAGGGCGTCTGTTTCTCCCTCTTCCTCTGCCACTCCCCCTGCTCATGTTCGCTCGCTCTCAAAAAATAAATAAAATCTTTAAAAAAAAAATAGATAAATTTAACATATGAGATGTTATTTGCTGTGTAGCTTCTAAATTGTTTCCACAGGAAGATTTTATAAGTTCTAAAATTTACAAACTAACTGGAAAAAAAAAAGTTTCTAAAATTTGAACGTGGAGTGCACATTAGATCTCTTAGGGAACTGGTATTAACTTTCTCAGAAGTTAACACCATTATTCAAATAATGGTATTGTGATCGCACAGGAGAACGTCCCTATGTGAGATGCACAATGAAGTACTCATGGCCTAAAGTATCAAGACGTCTGTCTGCTACTTTACATTTTGGATAGTCCAGCAAAAATAATACAGAAATGGATGGGTGGGTGGCTAGACAAATAAAGCAAATCCGACAAACGTTATTAACTGTGGAATCTGGGTGGTAGGTATACAGGTACTCATTGTACTATCCTTCCAGCTTTTCTGTAGAGGCTTAACATCTGTCAGAATAAAAACCTGAGGGGCGCCTGGGTGGCTCAGTGGGTTAAAGCCTCTGCCTTCGGCTCAGGTCATGATTCCAGGGTCCTGGGATCGAGCCCCACATCGGGCTCTCTGCTCGGCGGGGAGCCTGCTTCCCTTCCTCTCTCTCTGCCTGCCTCTCTGCCTACTTGTGTTCTCTGTCTGTCAAATAAATAAATAAAATCTTTAGGGGGAAAAAAAAAAAAAAGAATAAAAACCCAAGGCAGGGAAGAGGAGCGGGGAATGAAAAATAACATGTTCTAAGCTACAACACGTCCTTGGAACGGAACCATAGCAACTACCTGAGGAGAAAATGAGCTCTGAACTGTTTTCAAACCAGACCCATTCAAACCAGACCCCAGATAATCACTCCTTGTGCAACAAAGCATCATCCCCGCGCACATCAAGGAGACTTCTGGATTCCAGGCTGGGCTTGTGCCTACTCTCCTCACCTCCTTGATACCCCTCCCACTGTCATCTGTACCCACTCGAAATGTATAGGCTCATTTGAACACCCACCCATGTCATATTGCAAGGACACGTGACCTATCATGGATTCCTGGGCCCAATCTGCTATCTAGTTTTGAATCCTAATTCAAAATCCTAATGTCCTGTTTGGAAGTCCTGCCCTTCCTTCCTTCATCAGTATCTACGCTCTGAGCTGACAGAGGGCTGTCCCATGTCCTCACCAATTTTAAAAAAATCAAGTCTCTGAGGGAACACCTGCGTCCTTTCATTTCTTTGTGCAGTGCCCTCCAAGGCTGCACGTGTCCCACCATGGCCTCAGGCTCTTCATCCTCATCCCCATCCCCTCTCCCTGGTTTCCACTGTCAAGGCCACGTTTTCCTCAAACACTAAGCTCTCACCAGCCTCAGGGCCTTTGCACCTGCACCTTTGCCAGGAATGCTCTTCCCCACATGTAACAGGACGGTGTCTTTGACATTCAGGTGCCAAATCATCACCTCATATGTGAAGTGGCCCTCAATCCCTCTCTCTCAGGTTCCTATTTAACCTTCTTCAGAGGATCTATCTGAAGTTAACTGGTTTATTCCCTGACTAGAATTATCAGCTTCACAAGAGCAGGAGCCTCATCATTCTCAACCACCACTGCATCCTTAGTGCCTAGAACATACCCAGCATTAGCATGAGCTCTGTAAGTATTTGAAAGTGAATGAATAGGACCTCCAGAGAAAAGTCCCCGCGAGCACTCCCTTCCACCTCCTGCTTCAAACCAGAGCTGCAGCCTCATGTGGGGCTCACTGTGGGGCCCAGCTCTGGCGGGAGATGCCAGGGACAGGGAATGCTCAGGAGGACACCTGGGCTTTGGCAGGTTCAGCTGCCTGAGCCAGGGCACCGGACGGCAAGGGCTCTCTTACCCATGTACAGATGGTCCTCATTGGGGTCATCCAGGACCTGTTGGCACAGCCACACGGAACAGGCCGGAGATGAGGAGCAGGGGAGAGGAAGAGAGAGAAATGATAAGAGCAGGGAGGAAGCAGCATCCACATGACTGCATTTGCCAACGGGAGGGCGGTTCTTTCCACTGGTCAAGATGAAGGGCACAGGAAAAAACCCAGTGTGCACGATCCAAAAGGCCATCTGGAAAATAGGCACCTTCTAACCCAATCCTCAAAGGTCCAAGACATCTAGAAAAGAGGTTATAAAAGGGAGGGGCAAATTCCTCCCCTGGGAAATGGGGGTGCCCGGCTGGCTCAGTCCATCAAGCAAGCAACTCTTGATCTCAGGGTCATGAGTTTGAGCCCCACACGGAGAGGAGAAATTACTCAAAAACAAAACAAACCAAATAAAAAGTAACTTTTTTTTTTAAATCCCTCCGCTGGGAAATGTCTCAGCTTCAGTAAGAATCCCACCTGTCTCCCAGGAGACAGCAGAATGATCCTCAGGGTAAGAATTCAAGTCCTGTCTGGGCTCTTCCAACACCTCCATGAAGTGCCCCCCAAACTCCTGCCCCCTTAAGAAAGGACGTCGCCCTGCCTGGAACCACCATGGCATGTCCTCGTTCTCCTCACAGCCATCCTGCTTTCAGCTTGTCACTTATGTCTATCTTGTCCCTCTCTGCAAATGGCTATATCCGCCTGAGTTGCCTCTGTGGTGCCCTGTACAAGACAAGGCTCATAGTCATTGCTCAGGAAATGCCTGAATGTCCATGTCCATCTGAGGAATGTCTGAGGTCTGTCCAAGAGGCAGGCTGGCAACCAGTCTTGTTGGGTGTACAGGCCAGAAGCCACAGGGGGGGGCGAGGGAGATCCCACCAGGAGCCAGAGCCACTTGCTAACAAAAAGTGTCCTTGAGTTTCCTCCAAGATGGCTGAATCCAGCATCAGCGACCTGAGACTGTGAAACTCAGTGTCACAGGTGGAGGCAGCCAGCAGCCACCATCCTTCTCCTTCTCTCCTGCCTCTTCCCACATCATCTTCACCTTCTCCAGTCAACCAAGATCCATAGGACGAGAGCTCTAAGAATGAGATGCACCCTAGGCAGAGGCCCAGGGCAGCCCTCTGCTAACCCTCACACCCATCAAAGGGCAGGTGTGTACCCTCAGATGACACCGGCCCTTTGCACATGCTGTTCCATCCTCTGTGATGTTCTTCCCTGTCCTTTCCCTATTATCTCCATCCAGGGAACAACCGGGGTCGTCTCAAACATCCGTTCCCATGAGAAGCCTTCCTCAGCTGCTTGGGCTGGCGGGCTGCTTGCACTCCATGCTCCGGCACGACCTCCAACACCCATCCAATTACATACTTGATCACACGCCATTTACAAATCTTGTCATCTAGGCCAGAGGTGCTCCAAATGTGATCTGGGAACTTCTAGGGATCCCCAAGATGCTTTTAGGGAGTTTATGAGGTCAAAACAATTTTCACACTAAAACTAAGATAAGTAGCACCTGGGTGGCTCAATTGGTTAAGCATCTGCCTTTGGTTCAGGTCATGATCTCAGGGTCCTGAGATCGAGCACTGCATCAGGTTTCCTGCTCAGTGGGGAGCCTGCTTCTCCCTCTCCTCCCTGCTCGTGCTCTCTCTTCTCTCTCTTTCAAATAAAACAAAATCTTATTAAAAAAAATAGGGGCGCCTGGTGGCTCAGCCATTAAACGTCTGCCTTTGGGGGCGCCTGGGTGGCTCAGGAGGTTAAAGCCTCTGCCTTCGGCTCAGGTCATGATCCCAGGGTCCTGGGACTGAGGCCTGCATTGGGCTCCTTGCTCAGCAGGAAGCCTGGGCTCCCTCTCCCACTCCTCCTGCTTGTGTTACCTTTCTCACTGTTCACTGTGTCTCTCTGTCCAAATAAATAATAAATAAAATCTTTAAAATAATAATAATAATAATAATAAAATAAATAAAACTAAGGTAATAGTTGCCCTTTCTACTCTCATCCTTTACTAGTAGAGAAACAAGAAACCACATGGCACGCAAAGTCACCATAGGCTAAAAGCAAGAGCAGATACAAGGATCCAGCCATCTTCTATTAAGCCAGATGTTAACAACAACAAAAATTTACAAAAATGTAAACTGCTTGGGTGGCGCAGTCCATTAAGCATCCAACTCCTGGTTTCAGCTCAGGTCCTGATCTCAGGATCCTGAGATCAAGCCCTGAGTCGGGCTCCGCGCTCAGTGCAGAGTCTACTTGGGACTATCTCTCCCTCACCCTCTGCTCTTCCCCACCATGCTAGCTCTCTCCCTCTCTCTCTCTCAAATAAACAAATAAATATTTAAAAAATATATAATGTAGAGGCACCTGGGTGGCTCAATGGGTTAAAGCCTCTGCCTTCAGCTCAGGTCATGATCCCAGAGTCCTGGGATGGAGCCCCGCATGGGGCTCTCTGCTCAGCGGGGAGCCTGCTTCCCCTTCTCTCTCTGCCTGCCTCTCTGCCTACTAGTGATCTCTGTCCGTCAAATAAATAAGTAAAAATCTTTTAAAAAAATAAATAAATAAAAATAAATAAACAAAATGTAAATTTTTTCAGGAAATATGCTTATTTTTCATAAAAATATATAATGGGACTTCTGTTGTTTTTACATGAATAAATAATTTTTAAGTTTCTCAGTTTTAAATCTTAATATGGCAAATAATAATAAATATAACCCACATAAGCAAAACTTTTTTGGGGTCTTCAATAATTCTGAAGCATATAAAGGAATCCGGAGACCAAAAACTGTGAGAACTGCTGATCTAGAAGAGGGGATGGAAAATACAGCACACAAGCCAAATCTGGCCCTCTGCTTATTTTTTGTAAATAAAGTTTTATTAGAACACAGCCATACCCATTTGTTTACATGCATATGGTTGCCTTTGTGCTAAAAGCACATATAACATGGAGAAACAGAACCAGCTCCAAAGACAAAAATGGATAAAGGACAAGTCTTAGTAGTCCTCTGCCCTTCAATGTCCTCATTTGTAAACTGGGAGTAATAGTCTTAGGGAAGGGTGAGGATAACATGAAAGAACAGTGGTGAAAGAACCTGGAGCAATACTACTACTCAGTCCTCCAACAGCTGCTTAACCTGGCCTGGCTCTCCCTAGAAACCAGCAGTGCAGCGTTTGGGTAGTAACAGAGCTGGGCCTAGACAACCACCATTCTCGCCTCCCTCCTCCCTGTCCCCCCAGCTCACCTCCACCAGCTTCACCACATTGGGGTGGTCTAGCTTCTTGAGGATGGCGATTTCCTGGTACACCTGCTCAATGGGGCCCCTAGGCTGGATGCAGCCTCCGGGGGCTGGCCGGGTGCCTCGGGGTGGGGGGCGACCTGGAGGAGACACGGACCATCCCAGGGTCAAGGCAAAGAGCTTTTCCTCTGCAAATGGGGGGAAACGCAAGGGAGGGGGTCTTGGCAGGGCTGGAGTGGCTGACGCCACCAGGGGCCATAAGTAGCCTGCTCCTCTCACCTGTCTCCTCTGCTGTTGAAACTCAGTGAGGCTGGAGACCCAGCCCCCTTGCTCAGCTTTCTGTCCCCTCCTTCCCATGCCATACCCCAGGTCATAGTGACAGGAGTCTTTGAGGCCTCTACCCGGGTACTCTACAGGGGACACCATTCAACGAGATCTTCTCTGTCATGCCCCAACTCTGCACCAAAGAGCAAAGGTGCGGCCCACCAAACTCACGTGGAAAGCCCGCCTGTCGGATCAGCTTCTTTTTGGACAGCACCTTCATCGCCTATGAGAGAAAGACCCCGCATCTCGGTTAAAATGGAGGAAGGGAGAGGGAGAGTTCCCTCTACTCCTAGGCTGCCAAAGCTCTTGGCATCCAGGTGGCCTCGGGACAATGTATTGAGCACTTCGTCATCAGAGTGGCTTGACCAGCTGCAAGTGGCCTGGAGGCTGGACTGCCAGGATCTCCCCCGCCCTGAGGGTGCTTCTGAGGTTCCATGTCTACTCTCCTGGCTGGGACTCAATACAACTGTGAGTCCTTGCCCAAGGACACATAGGAAGGACACACAGGTGGCAGATGGGAGAGCCAGAATTTGAACCCACAGTAGACTGACCCCAAAGCCTCAGCTACAAGGGCAATTTTTCTCACTACCACCTGGTTCTTGGTGCTACGGAGGATGTAGAAATGGAAGTCCAGAGTAAAGGTATGAGACATTTGCTGAATGTGTCCGCTTTCTTTCTGAGCCCATCACTTTGCCTCCCCATTTCCACATCTCTATAATGGGAACATCACTTCCTTCCTAACGCCCAAAATGAAATGACCTAAGAATAAAATGAGACAAGAGCAAAGAAAATCTTCCAGGAAATCAAGTTCTGGAAAGGAGGCTTTTACTTTGGCCAATGATGAGGGCAGGGAGGGGGCTGTGGATACTCACGTAATAAGTATTGTCATTTTCATTGTAGGCCAACTTGACCACGCCATAGGAGCCCTGAATAAAGGGAGATGCCCATGACATACTATCCAGAAGTTACAATCTGCAAAATGAGGACCCTAAGACAGGGGCTGCAAACCAGCAACCAAATGGCCAAATCTGCTCTCCAATTACATTTTGTTGCATCAGCAGCTTTTAGAAAGTTTGAATTTGTTGCCAACATTTAAAAACAGAAAGATGCAGATATAAAAATCTAAATTCTCAGCTTCTTTTGAAAAAACATGAGAAGATCTAGCCATATGGGCCTATAATCATTTCTACATGTTAACAGTTTGCCACAGTCCTCACCACTCCCTACTGCCTTAGCCCTAGCATGATTTGCTCATTTATATTACTCACTTGCTTTCTATTGGCATTTGACTTTCTGACCTCTGCAAAGATACTGCCTATTTGGATGAAATAAAAGCAAAAATAGATGTGACAGTACCTAAGAGAGGGAAAAAAAAAAAACCCACTAATGTTGGTGATATGGAATTCCCTCGAAGTTGTCTGAGCTTTTGTGGAAACACATTATTATTATGATGTAGAAAGAAAATAAGCCAGATGGACCGTTGATGACAAAACCCTCCCACAATCTCGCCTCGAAGGACTTCTTCCCACTCCTAGCTCTAGTGCATTCCCTCCACTCTATCTCAGACATTTTTGGTAGATGTAGAAAACTAGCCTGGCTCCTGGGATATTTACCTTTCCAATTTCATCCTTCAGCGTGTACTGATTCAGCTGTACACAATCCTGGAAAGTTAAGTAGAAACACACAGAATTATGAATTTTAAGTCTGCAGCTCTCCTGGTATGTTTTTCACAAAACAACATATACACCAGGACCCAAATCAGGAAAGAGAGTTGCCCCAGCCACCCAGAGGCATCTCCCAGGGTGACCACTACCCTAACTTCTAAAAGCCTAGTTCCTGTACATTGTAAAAAGGTGATCATACAGTATGTACTCTTTTAATACCCATTTTTGTTTGTTTTTTTAATACCCATTTTTAAGATGTGTTTCCAAAATGTTGATTTTCAATTAAACAAATAATTCTATCTAAGGACTATGCTGTCCTCCAAAAACATAAAGTGACATAGTGGAGAAAATCTGAGTGACTGTGAGGCAGACAATGGTTTCTTAATGGTTTCTGAAAAGTTCTTTCTGTACAAAAAGTACAAGATATAAAAGGAAATTAAGTGATAAACGGAATTCCATAAAAACTAAAACCTTTGCTCTTTGGGAAAAAAAAAAAATTTACTCTTTGAGATTTTCACTATTAAGAAAACAAAAGGCAAGCCACAGCCTGAGAGAAACTATTTGCAACACATCAGACTGGCATCCAGATAGATAAGGAATTCTTGTAACTGGGGTGCCTGGGTGGCTCAACGGGTTAAGCCTCTGTCTTCAGCTCAGGCCATGATCCCAGGGTCCTGGGATCGAGCCCCACATCGGGCTCTCTGCTCAGCAGGGAGCTTGCTTCCCCCTCTCTCTGCCTACTTGTGATCTCTCTCTGTCAAATAAATAAATAAAATCTTTAAAAAAAAAAAAAAAACTCTTATAACTTATTAATAACGACACCCTCATTTTAAAAAAAGAAGATATACAAATGAGCAGTAAGCACATGAAAAGAGGCTCCAAAAAAAAAAGAAAGAGACTCAACGTCATGACTCATAGGGGAAATGTAAATTAAAACCACACCCATTAGCCTGGCTAAAACTCAAAAATGACCATACCAAGTGTTGTCAGAATAATGCAGGCCATGGAGAAGCTTCGCACACTGCTGGCAAGAATTTAAAATGGTGCCGCCTCTTCGGAAAACAGTTGGGCAGTTTGTTAACAAACACCTCCTCTAGGACATAGCAGCCATTCTGCTCCTACCGTTCATTTAAGAGGTGTGAAAACCTGTGTTCGTGCAAAGACTTGCTGTTTGAAACAGCTTCAAGTTTAATAGTCGAACACTGGAAACGACTCAAACGCCCACTGACAGGTTAACGAATAAACAGTGGTCTACTGCACACAAAGAGATGCTAATAGCCATAAAAAGGAAGCATGTAACAACATGTAACAACACGGACAAGTCTTGAAATCATCATGCCGTAAAAGAAGCTAAGCCCAAAAAAGAGTACAAACTAGATGATTCCACTCACAGAAAGTTCTTGAACTTGCAAACTAATCTATAATGCTAAAAAAGCAGGTCAGCGGGTACCTGGGAAAGGGGAAGAAGGGGGAGGGATGTGTCATCGGGTGTGCGGGGAAGGTCTGTGACCTTGACTGGGGCAATGATTTCACAGATGTATGCATCTATCAGCAATGACTGTATTGTACACTTGAAATATGTGCACTTTGATTTACTTCAATTATACCTCAACATAGTTAGGGAGAAAATGTTAGGTGATGTAAGAAGTAAAAGAGGGAGGGGCGCCTGGGTGGCTCAGTGGTTAAAGCCTCTGCCTTCAGCTCAGGTCATGATCCCAGAGTCCTGGGATGGAGCCCCGCATCGGGCTCTCTGCTCGGCGGGGAGCCTGCTTCCTCCTCTCTCTCTGCCTGCCTCTCTGCCTACTTGGGATCTCTGTCAAATAAACAAATAAAATCTTTAAGAAGTAAAAGAGGGAAAAGAAACATGATAGAAAATAACACTTCCAGTGCTACAGATAGGCCCAGCACTTCCCTTGAACCCCCCCACCCCAATTCTAACCCTTTCCCCGAACCCTGACATCAGTTTGGTGCATAAACTTCCAGGCCCTTCTCTATGTAAATGCACGCATACACGCACCTGTTGAAAATACAGAGCATTGTTTTGGGATGAGGTTTGGGGAGACAAAAATGATGTCACACTAGATCATCTGTCACTCAACAACATCACTGGAGATCGTTCCATGTCCGAGTGTACACACAGACCCACATCTTTTGACTTGCTGTAAAGCCCTCCTCAGCTCACACAGCCCTCCCTTCACCAGGGAACATTTTAGGTTGCTTCCACTGTTTCTTCCCAGTGTCAATTTCATTCCCTTGAGTCCTAGAGGGATGTGACAGGCAGAAGTGGGGCCCTGCAAAGCTGACTTAACGGGTCTCGCTGCCCCTAATCTAAGCCCCAAATGCAGCTGAACTCATCTTCCAGATTCCACTCAGATCCCATCGGGCCCTGATGCTTCCAGGGTCAAGTACTGACTCCACTCTTCTGACCTTGCAGAGTCACCTAGTTGCCAACCAAATTCCAGGCTCCCCTTTCTTCCTTATAAATGGATAGCTCGGTGGCAACGTCTCAGGCTGCAAAACTGCATTTCCCAGCCTCTCTTACAGCTAGGGGTGGCCACACTATGTTCTGGGTAGCAGGAGAAGCCAGAAGTTGTTGGGTAGAGTATCCAGGAAAAAGGACTGACTTAAGAGTGCAGATGACTTTTGCTCTTCTTTCCTGTTCCTTCTTCCTGCCTGGAATGAAGCTGTGAGGGCTATAGTCACAGCAGCCATCTTGAGACCATGAGGTTTTAAGGACAACAACAGGACCACCACACACAGGTCCCAAATGCCTACCTCCAGATTTATTTTACATGATAAATAAGCCCTATTATGTTAAAGCCACTGCTATGGGGAAGAGCAATATATCTTTCTCTCTCTAGGCTGACTCAAATCTAACCAAAATAAACCCAAACTCCCCTGTTGCCACAGTGCTCCTCACATGGGCCCTATTCTTCATCTAGCTGAAGCCCTGAGTACCTTTCCCCCACATCCTGCCTTCTACCCCTGGGCTTTTGCTCACACTGTGCATTCCCCTGCAGTGAACTCTCTGTGTATACCCATCTCCAATTATGAAAGTCCTACCCGGCCCTCAAAATATAGTTAAATACCGGCCCCTTTAAAAGGCCATTCTCAATATCCATGCTTCTCCCAATTAAATTCATTCATTCCTTCAACAAATATTTTTGTGTTCCTACTATGTGCAAGGTACCATGCCAGGCGCTGGGAACGTGATGGTGGACAGGACTGTTCCTTCTGAGCTTACATTCTAGCTGGGGAGACAGGCCAAAAACAACTCAACAGACACACAGATAATCAGATGGTGATGAGTGTCGCTAACAGGGTGACAGGGGAGATGGGCTGGGGCTGAGGGGGCTTACAGGGGGTGGTCAGAGAGATCCTTCAGAGGAGAAGACATTTGATTTGAAACTTGGCTGTCAAGGGGAGACAGCCCTGCAAAGACAGGGGGTGGGGGGCCCAAGCACAGAGGACAGCAGGGGTAAAGGCCTAATGGAGGGAACGAGCGTGGATATCTGAGGAATACAAAGAAGGCAATGTGGACAGAGCCCTGTGAGCTGGCAGCAGAGAGGCAGGAGATGGGGTGGGGCCTGGTGAGCCCTAGTGGGGCTCTAAGTTCTAACCTACCTCCCAGAAGTTTCCAGGAAGGATCAAATGAGAAATTTACACACAGTGCAGAGAGAGAGCAGTGCCTGGCCCCCTGCTGCTGGACTGGAGGCTTCTCACTGACCACCATCCCCAGCCAAACTCCAACCACCAGCACCTGCATCTCCGACAGACGCTCCCTGTGGCCCCAGAGCTGCGGTGCCCACTCTCAGGGCAGGTCACCTGCCCCCAGCAGCCCTCACCAGCAACTGTCAGGAGTCAGGATGAAAAGCCCAGTTCCCTTGGCCCTCAGGGAGGATAACTGAGGTACAGAACTTTCGACAGGTCAAACAGGACTCCCCAGAGATGGAGCCCCAGTTGTGTATGGCCACAACCAATTCCCTCAGGCACCCTTTGTGGACGTCCTTCTCTTCTACCCTCATTTCCCACCCCCACCTGGGCTTCCTGCAGTCACCTCCCAAATGAACGTTCTGGAACAGTGCCGCCTACCAGAGGACCCCGCGGCCGGCCAGCTCACTCACCTGCATGCCGGTGATGGAGACGTGGTGGGACTCCACCGTGGGCCGCCGGGGCAGCCGCGGCGACGACTGAGGGGAGCCCACCGGCGAGCGGGGCAGGGCCGCGTAGACGCAGCGTCCGTTCGCGTCCAGCTGGGACCGCTCCTGCAGAGAGAGCTTGCGACTGCACAGCTGGGGCCGGGCCTCGGGCCCGGAGCCGGAGGCGTCAAGGGGCCCATCTCGGCCGTGGGCCTCCAGGGGCCGGTCCCGGGCCAGGCCACAGTCCGCCACGCAGCCGGGCTCACACTCGGTGACCACGATGAAGGACTCCATGCCCAAGCGGATGCTCAGGGACGAGAGGCCCTGCAGGGCTTCACAGGGCTTCTGGCCTTCGCTGTCGCCGCCGCCCCCCAGCTCATCCTGGAGGGCGGCCGGGTCGCTGCTGGGCTGGCTAGAGACGCATGATGACATGGTGCGCGTGCCCAGGCACTCCCATCCGGCAGCAGCGCCACCTGCGGAGAGAGGAAGGGTCAGTGGCCGGAGGCAGGCAGGGCAGGGCAGGGGAAGTGGGTCGCTCCCGGCGCAGTGGGGACCTCAGTCCCCTCTCCAGTTGACATCCTTAAAAAGTCTTGCACAACATGATGTGATCTTAAGTCTATACAGAAGAGCCTACTCCACATTTCCTTATTTGAAAAGCCCCTCCTCACACACAGACGAATTCCAAACTCCATCTCTGCAAGAACCCCAAAATAGAGTAAGCCTGCCCCCTACAGAGGCGGCAGCTACTTCCAGCTCAAGCTGATTGTTACTAAACTGGGATGTGGGCCTAGAACTGCCTGTTCCCCAACCACTTTTTTTTTTTTAAACATATTTATTATTTAATGTTTTCCTAGTTCAGTACCCTACTTGGTGCCTGCCAGGCATAAGGCAAACAGGAAGTGAAAAGGCTGACATCAGAGCACCTGGCTGGCTTGGTTGGCAGAGCATGCAACTTTTGACCTCAGGGTTGTGAGTTCAAGCCCCTCAAGAAGAGTAAAAAAAAAAAAAGGTTGACATCAAATAGTTTTTTGAGGTGGTTCCTCAAAAATTCTAAACGGAGAATGACCACATGACCCAGCAATTCTGTTTCTAGGTACACACCCCAATAGTACTATTCACGGTACCAAAAGGGAAAACAATGTACACATCCAACAGTTGAATGGATAAGCAGAATGTGGTCTAACCACAATGAAATATTATTCAGCCATTAAAGGAATGAAGTCCTGACACCTGCTACAATCCAGACAAACCTCAAAAATATGCTAAGTGTACCCCTGAGGATAAAAATATATGTTTAAAAAATAATAAAATTTATTAAAAAAATATATATATGCTAAGTGAAGGAAGCCAGACCCCAAAGATCACGTACGTATAATTCTCTTTATTTGCAATTTCTAGAATAGGCAAATCCATAGAAACAGAAAGCAGATTAGTGGTTGTCTAGGACTGAGAAGGTGCTGGGGAGAATGGGAGTGACTGCTGATGGGTACAGGGTCTCCTGGGGTGGCGACCATGTTCTGGAATTAAACAGACATAGCGAGGGCATAAAATTCTCAATGTACTAAGTGCCGCTGAAGTGTTCATTTTTAAGTGGTGAAGTTCATGTTCTGTGAATTAAAAAAAAAAAGTTGACACTTCCTTACACTGTCAATTCCTTCTGTTTCTGGGACAGATTATTAACCTTTGGTTCATGTGTTTGACAAATCCTGCTGGACAAATGTCACAGGTGCCACTAAGATTCAGGGAGTACATCCATGGGTGCTAACAGTGGCAGCCCCGGACTGATCACCCACATCACGAAGGTGCCAGGCAAACAGTGGTGCTGAGTAGAGAGATTTTATGAATGAATAAAAGGACATCTCTTTATGACACTGTGTGGCAGTGAGAGGATAGAGAGGAAGATGGGAGCAGAAAGTCGGTGCTTTCTGGAGGAGCTGGGTGAGGGGCAGAGAAATGCCACTTGCCTTCTTGGGATCGTCCTATAAGAAGTATTTATGGCACAGCTTCTGTGTCTGGCAATCTAGACAGTAACGTAGGTGGTTGGGGTCCGTGCTCTTGTGGAGGAGGGAAAGACCAATGGAAAAAGCATTAACAAAATCACTGCAACATCCTAGGTACAATTTATGAAGAATGACTTTAAGATAAAAGAGCAACAAAGAAACCCATCAAGAAACTCAGCCTTAGCTACAGTAAGAGAAGGGCAAGTTTAAATTACACTGAAATGGTCTGGTGGGTCCTCCAAAAACTAACTGCAGTGAATGACCACAGGATCCAGCACGTGCTCTCCCAGGTACGTACCCAAAAGAATGAAGTTAGGATCCAAATGGATACATATACACCCTTGCTCCTGACAGCACCGTTCACAGTCAGAACGTGGAAACAACTCAAGTGTCCATCAACTGTGAATGGCTAAAAGAATGTGTTCTATCCGTATAATGGACTATTAATGAGCCATAAAAAGGAATAAAGTTTCAACACATGCTACACCATGGATGAACTCTGCAAACATGCTAACTGAAACAAGCCAGTTGTTAAAGGACAAATACTGGATGCTACAATGGTATGAGTCAGGACCTAGAACAGACAACATCATACAGACAGACAGAAGAGAGAGGCTGACCAGGGACTGGGGGAGAGGGGACCAGGGAATCACTGTTTAAGGGGCACAGAATTCAGTCTGGAGTGATGAAAAAGTCCCGAAAAACAGATAATGGTGACAGGTGAACAACACTGTGAACGTCATTAATGCCACTAAATGGTGACAGTGGTAAATTTTGTGTTATATTTTACCAAAACTAACATAATAATAATAAAACTATTAGGAATTACTACTTTTTCAACTATCAGATTGGCAGCGACAAAAAGTATAATCATAGCACTATTTTGGTGAGGCTATGGGGAGTCTGAATTGGTACCATCCTCATGAAAGGAAAGTCACCGATATCTAACGAAATTCCAAAGCACATACCCTTGACTTAGCAATTCCACACCTGAGATTTCATCCTACAGACAACCTCACACATGTGAAAAATGATGTATTCTGGTAGTATGGTTTGAAATGACCATCCACAGGGGACTGAGTAAATAAGATTATGCATATACCCCAGGAGAAAATCAAGCATTCAGTTGACCCTACACAATCTGGTATGAATTCGCTCTAAGACACGCTGTCATATGGAAAAAACCAAAGCATTAGTATGCTGCTGTTTTGGCGTAGGGGGAAATAGGCCCTATATGTGAAAGAAACTGTAGATGCAACAGCTTATTTCCAAAAAGGTATTCAAGAAAATGGTTAACAGGGGCCTCCAGAGAAAACAAGGGGTTTGCAGAAGTAGGCAGACAGGGTGGGAAGGACTAACATTCTACTGGGTACCATGTGCAAATAGTAATTCTTCAGAAATGAACTCTTTTATTAAAAAAAAAAAAAAAAAAAGATTTTATCTATTTATTTGAGAGCGCGAGAGCATGAATGTGGGACGGGTCCAAGGGAGAAGCAGACTCCCCCGGAGCAGGGAGGTGGATGTGGGACTCATCAATCCTGGAACTCCTGGATCATGACTTGAGCCAAAGGCAGTTGCTTAACCATCTGAGCCACCCAGGCGCCCCATGAACTTTTTTTTTTTTTTTGGACAGAGATCACAAGTAGGCAGAGCAGCAGGCAGAGAGAGAGGGGGTAAAGCAAGCTCCCTGCTGAGCAGAGAGCCTGATGCGGGGCTCGATCCCAAGGACCCTGGGATCATGACCTGAGCGGAAGGCAGAGGCTTTAACCCCACTAAGCCACCCAGGCACCCCTTTTTTTTAGTATTTTACTTTTGGGGCATTGCGCCCCCTGTCGGGCTCCCTGCTCAGTGGGGAGTCTTCACTTCCATCTGTTCCTGCGTGCGCGGGCGCGCTCCCCCCTTTTGTCAAATAGATAAAATCTTTTTTTTTTTTTTTAAGATTTTATCTATTTGACAGACAAAGATCACAAGTAGGCAGAGAGGCAGGCAGAGAGAGAGAAGGGGAAGCAGGCTCACCGCTGAACAGAGAGCCCGATGCGGGGCTCGATTGAGCCGAAGGCTTTAACCCACTAAGCCACCCAGGTGCCCCTAAAAAAATTATTTTAAAGTCATCTCTAGGGGCGCCTGGGTGGCTCAGTGGGTTAAAGCCTCTGCCTTCAGCTCAGGTCATGGTCCCAGGGTCCTGGAATCGAGGCCCGCATCGGGCTCTCTGCTAGGCAGGGAGCCTGCTTCCTCCTTTCTCTCTGCCTGCCTCTCTGCCTACTTGTGATCTCTCTCTCTGTCAAATAAATGAATAAAATCTTTAAAAAAAAAGCCTCTGCCTTCAGCTCGGGTCATGATCCCAGGGTGCTGGGATCAAGCCCCGCATTGGGCTCTCTGCTCAGCAGGGAGCCTGCTTCCTCCTCTCTCTTGGCCTGCTTCTCTGCCTACTTGTGATCTCTGTCAAATATATAAATAAAATCTTAAAAAAAAAATAAAAAGTCATCTCTACACTCAACGTGGGGCTCGAACTCACAACCCTGACATCAAGAACCGTACACTCTACCAAATGAGCTGACCAGGTGCCCCCAGAAATGAATTCTTTAAAGAAAGAAGGTAACTGTAACCCTGGTAGGAGTTAGGATAATAAACCTAGAGGGCTGAGGCAGGAGGAGGAGGAGGAGGAGGCAGCTGGTCCCACTCCTATTCCTCTATCCCACCCTTACAGTGTCTGAGAAAGAAATCATTAACTGTGTTCCTGGCTGCCCATCTGGATCACTGAAAGAATCCAACCCAAGTTCAAGGTTCTCTGTGGCCCAGCTTGTTATGTTATGCATCCTCCAGGAAAGGAAAAGCAGGGCCCTTGAAGCTCCATTGCTTGGACTGGCCACATACAAATGACTTAGCTTTCCTCGGTCTCAGTTTTTCTATCTATAAAATGGGCAGTCACCCGACAGCCATGAGGATTAAATAAGCTAAGCACACAGTGTCATGTCTCGTACATGGTCATATGCTCAAAAAGCTATTTTTTCAATAATTACCTATCGAATGCTTACTACGTACCAGGCTGGGTTCCAGAACGTTCCTATGAGGTACTGATATCCAAGCCAGCCAACCTACTCTCCTGTGGGTTCCATCACTCTGGCTACAGGGGCCTGCCGCCCCCAGGGCAAGAGGGGGCAGCTCCAGTGGCCTGTCCTCCTCCCACAGCCCCCTCTGACAGGGCTGCAGAGTTCCTGAAAAGAAAACTAGTCTGGCAGCACCTGAAAAAGTTAATGGAGAATTTTTTTCTTGCCAAGAAAAAAACAATTGCTTATCGATCTTCACTCCAGGCCAAGGACACCAAGCCATCTGCCCCTAGCAAAGCTGCTTTTAATCAGTCTCTTTGACAAGCTGGCGTCTGGCCAGGGCCTTGAGGAGGCAGGGCGGAGACGACAGCCTCTATGCTAGAGGGGCAAATGTGTCCCAGTCTCAGAAAAGAGGGCCCAGACCTC